GATTTTTTTTTGTGGTCTTTCAGAAGCACTAGAATTTATAAAAATTATTTTTAAAATTGAATTGAACGAAATCTACTATCTACTGTAGTCTAATTACGATTTCAGAAAATACTCCGAAAATTTCCGAAATTACATTTTTTTGCAAATTGTGGGTAAATCAAGCTATTGTGCCGCCAGCGGTAATGTGGTTTAATTCTGGACCGTCCCGTTTAAATATGTGTAGTCTATATGAATTCTAATATTTCACCACCCAAAGTTACTCTTGTTTTATTTTCAACCTAATTATATTCTCATTAGTAATGTTATATTAATTACAATATAATTATATGTTCTAAATGAAACATAAGCATTACCAAAATGAATTTTAATTCAAATATTTTTTTTGATTATTAAATAATTTTCTTTCAATATGCTTTTTGAATCTCACAACTCTCATTTATAATTCTTATTACTTATCTTTTCATATTTTTTATAAAAAATTCAAATAATTCGGTATATAAAGTAAAAATAATATGGCGAAATGTTAAAAAGACGGATTATGCTAAAGAACAAACTAAAAAATTAAGTCAAATTCCAAGTATTACAGTTATAAATAGGGTTGACGTTGTTTTTATAAAGAGTAAAACTCAAATTAAGAAAAAAAAAAAAAAGGAGAGAGAGAGAAAGGAGTAATTTGTCAAAGAACCATCTGAGCTACTTTATTTTGTTTTTAAGAGAAAAAACAAGAAAAAAAGGAAATAAAAAATGTTATACAAAAAAAAAAACATTCTTTGTTCTAGATATAAAATTTTAATATAGAGAATAAAATTTAATATATTTAATGAAATCAAATATGTATGAGTAAAATAGCGAGTTGAAAAAACAAAAATAATAAGAGTATATGAAGCAAGATGAAGGATATCAAAGGACATTGAAAATATTTTCTGTTTTTTTTTTGTTATTTGTTCTTCTCACCGTTTATTTTTTTTTTATTTGCTTTTTTGTTTTCTTTTATGTATAAAGTTATCAAAGAAAATGATCCTTTTATGCATTCATTAACATTCTTTTGGATTCAAATGAACATGTAGGTAAATATTCGCTTATGTACATGAATAAATAACATTTATATGTGTATAACATATTCCGGTATATAAATATAACATTAAGTATATGTGCGTACATTTTAATATTGTGGTTAAAATGTTACAATTTCATTCACAATAATTTTATGTTATAAAGATGAAATAAGCTTACTCGTATATTAGGAAAAGTTTCCATGAAATTCGGAATATTTGCAACAACAAAAAAAAAAGGAAAAGGAAACCAAAAATTAAAACATGGCTTTGGTTTTATTCCACCAAAAAAAAACAAAACCATAAAGAGAAAACGAAAAACATTTTAAATATAGGGGAGAATTAATTATTTACGTTTGTATATACAAAAAATATGTGCATACAATGAGTAGCACGAATACGTGCGGCTCCTTTTTTTGTGAATTTTTTCCTTTTTTTTTTTTTGTTTACGATTCAGTTGCAATCGCGCTATTTAAACTTTTTTTTAACAATTGTAATGAATCGATGTTGTGTTTTTTTTTTCTTTTCCTTGTATTTTTTACCATGAAAATTTTTTAATACCCACATTGTATATATGTATACGTTCTTATCTGAAACTTACAAATATATGTATACCATGTCATATAAATTACACATTATAATGTAGTTGGATGTGTATAACAGTAAGAATGGAGTATGTAATTAATTGTTAACTATTTTTCTGAATTTTTTTTGTAATCTTATATGTGTTCAAAGTTTCAAGGATTTTTAAAAAGAATATTAAATTTTCATGTATATATATATACAATTTTATATATGGCCTGCACCTACTTACTTTCATTATTTATTATTATATAATAAATCCGCATATATATAACTATTAGTATGTATGCATATTTTACACAGAGAGACAAAAAAAAAGCCTTAATAATGAAGATCGTTTTTAATACTCGTATATTTTTTGCTACCAACTTTTTTTTTTCTATTATATTTTTAGGCCGAAAACAAAATATAATAAGAGCCCCATTTTAGGGAGAGCGAGAATAAAGCATTACATATTTTGATTGCTTATGTTTGAAACAGTGGTTCATGTTGATTGAATTTCTATAAAAATTGTAATTGAGTTGTCTAAAAATGAAAAATCTATATAATTGAAAGAGCCTGTTTTGGGGTCTAAATATGAATTTTTTGCGGGTTGTACTGGGAAATATTCAATTGCCGCAATGTAAAATTTAAGCATTTAAGCATTATCTTAACGTAGATAGACAGTGATTCAGAAATGTCAGCAAAAATTCATAAAATTTTACAACTTAGCAGCTAGTATTCAAATTGTACAAATAGTGTTTAAAATGAATTAAATTTTAAACGCAGACGAATGTTAATATATTTTCAAAATACTTGTAAAATTTTTTAATGATCAAGATGTTAAAATATTCTTCTTAACAGTTCACTCTTAATACACTCTATTGTACATTAACAAATTTTTAAATTTGTTGTTATTCAAATTCGTATACTTAGCTATATGCAAACCTATACATATATATGAGCATTTTGAACAATGTGAGCAAATACAATAGTCACAATACTATAGAATTATTGATTTAAAACATTTTATATATTGTTATAAAAGAGTTTATTAAAGTGGAATTAATGTAACGGAAATGGAAAAAAAAATTATTCCATTTTTTTTTGTTTTGTATTTGTATTTTATATTTCATTACATTTTTAATTAAATTAATTGCAAATAAATTAAAATGTTAAATTAAAATGGTCTTGTTCTTCAATTTCTTAATGAAATTTTTATAAAATTCAATTAAACAACTTATATGTACAATAAATATGTGAAAATGGTACAGTGTTCCCATTCCACAACAGGATTTTAAAGTTTAATAGAAGAACAATCGTATGTGATATGGGGAGAAAATTACATTTTATTAAAATTTAAATTTAATTATTGATGCATAAATTTCTGATTATTAATGCTTAGATTCCTGATTATTTTAAAATAAAAAAATAAATTGTAGTTAATTGTTTTCAAATTTTGACTGTTCAATTGAAAAATGAAATTCTGATGTGAGCAGAGAGAACTGTCATTATGCTTATCAAATATAAATTTTGAAAATTAATAACTTGTACATGTGAGCTAATTGTAACAAATAAACTAGCTTTTAATTAGGCTGTATAAATCAGGTCGAAATAAGAAAATTTCTCATAATAAAGAAAGTTCCTTAATGGTTTCAGAGATCCACAGTTCTTTTAATTATTAATAATTTTATTTTCAACAATCAAATATCGCGGAATAAAATAATTTTATTGAAAATTTATTATTAACTTGGTTAATTGAAAATTAATTTGTTAATTCGTATATCATCAGTAAATCAGGTATTTATTTTTTCAGAAACATACTCTGCATTTAAAAAATATACTAAAAACTCAATTGCCTGTCGGTCACATATACTTCAATATCATGTATATACGCTATTGTGAATGATTTTTTATATTTTTAAACGCATGAATAATTCAATCAACTCGCGTTGCTATCTCAGCTACAATGTTGCACTATAATTATTTATTTTTGTTTATAAACATTTCAAATATGTCATGAAGGTGTCGCTTTCAATCACATAATTAAAGCAAATTTTTACTGTACAATTTTGGAATATAGTAGAAAATTATAGGGAAATCATATAGCTTTAAAAATCTTTTTGTGTTGCTAATGTATTTAATATTACATTCGTTTAAATTATAATCATATTCCAACCGAACCAAATGTGATTGAGCAGTTCATTTTATGAATATTTTGTATATCAAACATAATTGTACATTATAACGAACAATTAAATATTATGACATAGTAACAATCATAATTATTATAAGAGAAAAGACAATTTCATTCCTTACTTTAGTAAATTTATCAATTGTGAATTAAATTCCTGCCTATTAAATATTATAATTTAATTTCAAACTATTTTATTGTTTTACAACTTAACAATTCTATGAATTTAAATTTTTTTTTTTTTAATTTATGCTTGGATAAATTTTAACAGATTTCATTCACATATAAATTATAACTTGTATAATTCATGTAAAAATTTTCAAAATTAACCATACGTGTATACAAATGATTGTATTATATTCTACATAGTTTTAGTTTAACTGAATCCCACCAGATTTTCATATATACACATTTGCATTAATAATGAAATTAATGCTCAAAATAAAAAATATGCAAATATATTTTATTTTAAATATTATGCTAAATAAAAAAAAAAAATATTATAATATTTTAATAGCATATGAATAAATTATAATTTTACCCACTTGATTTTAGATAATTAATATTCCTTGAAAATAAAAAGAAAAACAAAATGGATCAAAAAGAGTTTATTTAAAAGATGATTGCTTTAATTTACAAATTAATTTATTTTATACAAAATTATTGAATGAAAGCAAAGTAAAAATTATTCATTAATATTTGCCTTGAAGTTAATTGAAATTTCTACTTGTAGAGTGGAACAAATTTAAGGGGACAGAATTGCTTACTATCTAAAGTAGTGTCTGTCAAAAGCTCTTCATGCTTTACTATTCTACTTCACCCATACCATATAAAATTTAAGTTTCCGAAATGAAATTAAAGCCCAATAAGAATGAAATATTTGACGAATGGAAAAATTGAAAGTGAAATTTATATTTGTATAAGGTTCGGAAGCTTTTACAAACACAATAAATTGAAAATTTTGCTCAAGACAATAAATTGAAAAAATATTGCATACTTTCAGGGACAAAATTTTGAATTTATTCAATTTTAACAAGGAAAGTCGTTGTCTTAATTAAACAAGACCTTTTTTTTTATAGAATATCATTAAACTTTAAAAATATTTTCTTGAAATGTCAAAATTTCAACTTCTGCCATTTATGAGATGGTTTAACTTTAATGACATAAATTATATAAGTACGTTTACAATAAACACCAAATTTAAATACACCAAAACCTTTCAAAATAGCAATATCTAATTATTGACTTTTTGATCATTTGAAATTAAAACATTTTGGCATTAATACGTCAAAAATGACAGCAAATTTCTATTTTTCTTTAAAATTAAATCCATTGTAAAAAAAATCTGTTCTGCAAACAATATCCTTCTATATCTTATTTTAAATGCTTTATATAAGTGTCTTTTTATATTTCACTGTAAATGGCTTATATCTGCGTATAAATTATAAATAAGAGCAAAAATCACATAAAATATTCCATTAAATGAAAATTATTTTTCAAAATGATGTAAAATGATCTTGTATAACAGTAATATTTTTTTTGGGTGACAGAAATGTTAGAATAAATTATTTGTAAGTTATTAAATTTCATGAGCGTCTGCTTAACTATAAAACAATAAATTCGCCTACGATATAATCGCATACAAGTATATATAGCTCATATCATAAATATGACATTAAACTGCGTATTTCTGTAGTATATAGAAAGAAAACATAAAAAGTCATTTTTGTCTCATAGTTAATCTCTTTTGAAATCTATTTTATAATTTCAAAGAAAATATTATCATAGTGTTTTTCTGAATATTTTTTCTTTCGTATTTATTTTAAGAAATAAGCATGTAAACGATAATGGCGGTGTCAATAATAATCTTTTTTTTACTTTCTATTTTGCGCTTTGATTTCTTGTTATTGTGTCTCACCCGAATATCATATAAGATGTATGCGGATTATTTAAGATGTATAGATTGCCTGTTTGATAACATTAAAATTATTATCCTTGCAATATTTTAAAGTATAAGAGGTTATAGAAACCCCAAGAGATTTTCATTATTACGTCTTTAATATTTTCCATAATTCGTGTTATTTTAAAAAATACAAATTAGAATATTAAATGTGTATAATGCGAACAATAATGAAGTATAAAAAAAATTTAAATTTCAATCAAGTTTTTTGTTCAGTTCCCACATTCGGGTGGGTGTGTAAAACAATTGAAACATAAAAATTTTAATAGCTTGCGTCGGAAAATATTAAAAATTGAAAAGTAGGTGAATAATACCTGTGAAATTTTTATAGAAAATTTAAATATTTTTATTTTCAAATTAAATTAACAGTAAAAGGTGTAAAATTATAGGGAAATTTATAATGTTACTTAAACAATGCCATCAGTTGACAAAAAATGAATGCTTTAATACAAAAAATATTTATAACAATGAGTAATTTTTAAAAAAAAAATTATTGTGAATGAAAATTATAAAACACAAAATTTGGAAAATTATGTAAAAGTGTACAGTAACATCTGTCTTAAAATTTCTCAAATTATAAACTAATCTGCAGCACTCTGCTAACTGTTTTATTCGTTTACTTGAATATTAAGTAATAAATAATTGTATTCCTTTGAATTTTCGACTTTAAGAAGTTATGATTCCCCAAAATGTTTTGATAAATTACTCTTAGTAGTTGCTTCCATTTTTAAAACAAATTTCAATTTGAGAGCAGACATTATTTACTAAGAGGCGAATAGAGGGCGTAAAAATATTTTAAGAAAAAATTTGCCAGAAAGCTTACCAATTTTATTATTCAATATCGAAGTCAAAATTGTGAGAAACTTTGTCTGTATTATTCTTAATGTGACAATGAAAAGGTTAATATTATTCTAAAATACAAAATATTTGAAGAAATTTTTGACAATAACAAATTTCGTCAAAGTTATAAAATATTAGAAAGGATTATTTACTTAGTATTCATATATCATTCACGATTACTATTGAAAAAAAATAATATAAAAGAATTGATATGGAAAAGCTGATTCTGTCAGCTTTAGCAAAACTTCAATATACGTCCATTTTATTCCAAAAACAAAAAATAATAAAAGCGGCCTAAAGACAAAACGAAAACAAACATTTTTTTTTATTTGTCTTTATTTGTCATTGTCTTTATTTGTGTGTTTACACACGATGTTTTCATATTTATTCAATTTTTGAACTAAAATTTCATATTTTATTAAAATTATAATAGGCGTATAACAATATATATAACATTCATCAGATTTTTTATAGTGATATGTTCGAGGATGTATGTGTGTATATTTTTAAATTGAATTTTATGAATGATAAGATTCTTGTTTATCTTTCCTTCCTTCACTGTTATTTTATTATTATTGTTATTTTTGTTTTGTTGTTTTGCTGTTTTATTTCATTAAATTTTTGAAATATAAAACAAAAAAAGAAAAATATTTTTATTATTTTTAATTTTTATTTAAAATTTCTTAAAAAAAAAATTTAATACATTTGCAATATGTTGTATAAAAAATTATTTTGACAGTGAAATAAAACAAAATCTTTTATGAATAAAAAAAATGTGTGTGTATGTGTAAATTTAAATGCGACCCAAGGACACCGAAATAATTTGAATTAATGAATTTTTCTTTTGAACATCTCATATTTTTATTATGAATTTTTGAATATTTCATCAAACGTACTTGTACTCGTAATATGAAAAGCTACATATAAAAATTTTTAGGTCATATTAAAATAAAATTTTCAGTAAATGTTTTAAGAAAACTTTTTCTTACTGAATTAACAATAATTCACTCAATATTTTGACATATAAATTTCTTTTATGTCACAAAATTTTTCTTTAATTATTAGTTTAAGTACCGAAAAGTAAAACATTTCAGGTAAATAGCAACGAATTCAAAATTTAAAATTAAATTTTTAAAAATTTTTTTTTTTCATTTATCACAAATGTCAAATTTTCTTTAATATAAAAGTAGAAAAATGTCAAATTTTGAAATAGAAAAATGTCAAATTTAAAATCTAATTTTATAGAAAAATTAACAGTACATCGACTTCGCATACATCATACCGAAATTGGTTATGTTGTAATATTTTGAAAACGTTTCACAATTGTCAAATTGTTGTCAATGTCAATATTTAATTATCATTTGCAAGATTTTTTCACACAATTGTAACAAAATTTTTTTGGAAGCCAAAAATATAAAATTTTGCAATTTTTTTTTTAAACTAATTAAAATTTTAAATAGTTGATAGCGAATTACAACTGATTAAATTTCCATTGATTACTAATGTACTACAAATACGTTAAAATTTTTCAAGCTTTTTTGATATTTTATGCCATTTTTACAATATTGTGTATGAACTTTTGAAATTGTCTTGTTAAAATATTGACTGATAAAAAAGAGAATTAATACGTACGTATGACAAAAGAAGAAATGACAACAATGTTGATATGCAAAAAAAATGAATTTGAATAACGCAGCGCGGCGCAACGAAAACGAAGATGAGTGTAAAATCAAAAAAAAAATTACAATTCCATCACATTATTCAATGACATTTCATGGTGTTTGATGACATTTCAAACATGATATTTTCATTTTATTTGAAGTTTGGGGAAATTTTAATTTGTTTTTGGTTTACGTTTGTTCTTTTCCTCTAAATAATTTAAAAATAAAAATTCAAAATTCTTATGATTTAAAAATGATTTTTGTTTGTATGCTTTTTTTTGTTTTTCTAAAACCTTAAAATTTAATTTTTAAAATTTTTACCTACGTGATGTCAATTATATTAATTAATTCTTAATTTTTAATTTATAATCTTATTTTTATAAAAAGAATTTTGTTTTCTAATTAGTATTTTTTTTCTTTAATTTTAAATTTAATTTATAAATTAATTTTTATCGAAAATTTTTTTATATTATTTTTTTTTCTTTTTGAATTTAAAAAACATTTACTAAAGAAATAAAAATTTTGCCAATAAAATTTATTAAACACTAACAAAGTGGGGGCCGTTGCTATCCATCGGGATAATTACCTGGCCCCAATTGAAGCTTATCTCACTTAGGTTCACCCATTTGTTGACCAACTACTATAATAATAATAATAAATACGGCTAATAATAGTAAAATACAACAAATTGCTACAGCAACCATCGCGCTATTACTCATCCAAATACTTGCGAAAATACGAAGGGAAGAAAATTTTTTGTTTTAAAGAATTTTGAAAATAATTTTTCTAATGCTTTAAATTTTTAAAAAGAAAGCCAATTTATTTTTTTTTTATTTTGCCAATGTTGATTATTACGTCAATTACATCCACTTAATTGAATGACAGAAGATGTTCTTCTTTTTATATTTTAATATTTTAATAAAACGGCAAGACTGTGTTGTTTGATGTTTAAATAATCGGAATTGTTAAAAAAGTTGCAATTAAATTTTAGAATTCACTTTATAGTTTAGTTGATTTTTTTTGTTGTTTCGAAAATAATTAAAATTTTCAAATAATCCAAAACCAGTGTCAAGACGTAATTGTTGTGCAGCTGAAGAACGCTTTCTTATGTTGTTTTTGAATTCCGGAGGATTGATAGCAGCAGTTAAGTATATAATTGCGCAAATATAAAAGTGGCAAGCGATAGCAGCGTGAAGAATGCAAGCGATCAATAATTAATTATTTTGTATCCTGCTCTATTTTGAATATTTTTTTCTTTTGCAACCCCAGTTTAATTTGATTGTATAAATTTAATTTTTAAAAGAGTAAGCAGCAGTTTGTTTTGTAAAGTGGTTGAATATTTAGCAGAAGAATTTATTTTTGATAAGAAATTAGTATTGAAAAGGCTTTAAGCACATTTTCTCTTTTCCGATTCTATTAAATTTATTTTATTTTTCAGAAGAAATTTAGTAAAAAAATTTCATTTTCAGTTCCATTTTCAAAAATAGAAGTTAAAATATTTTATTTTTTTTTTTTTCAATTTGTGACGATCACTTTAACACCATTGTTCTTTGTTTTAAAGTTTGTTTGTTTGGTTTTTGTTTTTTAAATCTTTTTAATAATTTTTAAAATGTTTGCTAAAAAAAATATTAAATATAATTTTTAATTATAAAGAAAATTATAAGAAACGAATTGATTTTAAAATAACTGCAACAAATTAATAATATTTATAATAATTTTATCCTTATTTAATTTAATTTTAGAAAATCGGAGTTGGAGTCACAGTCGGAGTTGGAGTCGGATTTGGATTCAGAGTCGGATTTGGAGTCGGGGTCAAAATCAGAAATTTAAATCTATACTTGAGCTCTAGGAGTGAACGCAAATTTCGTGGGTACCGATGTTTGATGTTGACCCCGCAATTCATAGGCGGATTTTGTATTACATATATAATAATGTTATACAAATCATTGAGCTGAATGACGGAGGCATCAAATTTCTCGGAATAGCTTCAAGAATATTGCAACAGTAAAGAATATTCTATGTTTTCCAGAATTCGTCAATTTTATCTCTCTTAATTTAGACTTTCTCCAAAATTTTTGATAATCTTGAATTTCGCTTTTCAATATTTTCATTAAATTTTCCCAAATTCCTTTTGTTTTATTTTTTCTTAAACAACAAATATGTTATAAATAACAGTCACGTCAACATACAAATTCTATTTGTCAATATTTAATTTTTATTTTCGAAAAGTTTTTGGAAATTTCAACAGGTAAAACTCATTTTATCTTTTAAGAAATTAAGGAGATTTCTTTGTGCAAATGATTATAGCGGGTTATAAGAAAATATTTTTTTTTAACAAATTTATTGTTTTTTTTTTTTTTATATATACCCTAATTATGTCCCTAATTTTAAATAACCTTCGGTTTATTCATTGAATTTTCTTATAAGAACAAAACCAAACACATAATAAGAAAAAAAATTAATTTTTATAAGGGTGCGTGTTATTTTTATCCTGCGATAATTTATTAAATCAGAAGCTTAATTAAGCGTATTAAGTACGTTTAACTATTCATCCAGTTAGCTTGACAGTTTAAAGAAAAATTATAGAAAAATTAATAACTTGATTGAAATTTAAGATTGTTATTAAGACGTAGAAAGAGTAAAGTTTTTATAAACTTTATTTAAATTGATAAATTATATAAAGACTACCCTCGATCTATTAGTAAAAAAGGATGACGCACCCCAGCCACCATCGCGAAGTCCATATTTAGGCCAACAAGACGGCCTATCGGCAATCCTCAAATTAACAGTCAGCAAACCCCCACGTAATGCAAAGCGCAAAAACCATCTACTGGAACTAATCAAATTTCTTGGCGAATGCTCAAGAGCCGCGTTCAAGACCCTCGCAACAGGTTGTCCCGGCCACCGTAAAAGAAGGAAAGAAGACGTCTTCCTCGTCTTCATCAGAGACGAGCAGACACAGAGAAAATAAAGCAACTGTACTGTAACTGAACTGAACTGAACTGTAACTGAATGTGACCAAGAATTCTTGTAAATATATTTTTTAACACTAATTAATCTGTTTGTAATATTATGAAATGAAAATCTAAGATATCATAGCATGAAATCCATGAATTTTACGTTCAATTTTACATCAAACTTTTGCTAATATTAAAAATTCCAGTAAGAATCAGGTCGATTTTTCAGAGAACACTCAACTCCCATATATTTTTAATTTTTAATTGTATATTTTATAGTCTACTCACAAAAATATAACCACAAAATGTAGGAAATTCCTTGTAATATTTTTGCTATATTTTTTTTCATATATTTTTCTGGAACAAAATCTATGAAAACCTATTAAAATTTTTTTGTTTTAAAATAATTTTTTATACTTTTTCTTTTTGCAATTTTCTTACTAACGCAAGAATAACAAAGTGAATTTCCAATGAATCATTTTTAAAATCAAAAATAAATTTTCTTTTTAGTATAATAAGCTTTTCATTTAACAAATAGAAAAAATAAATTCAAAATCCCATTTATCAATCGGCTTCGTCCTTAAACATTTTCTATTTATCCTTTTCAAATTATAAAAGTATTAAATTTTTAGGGGAACATTTTTGGATGACTTAACAAAAAATTTCCATTTCATAGAATTTTCACCATTTTCAAAGGAAAATGAAAGAAAAAAAATAGACACTAATTTTTTTTCTGTTCAATTCTTTTGCCTCAAAAATTGAATTTAGTATAAGAAAAATTAAATTTCCACTAAACTCTTTTCATCGACCCTTTTATTCTAGCATGCATGTATGTGTTTGTGTATAAATTTCAACATAATCATGTGAACATTTACTAAATTACACGTGAGTCATTCCGCAATATTTTTGTTTTCTTTACTTTTTGATTTTAAATCGTAAATCATAGATAAAATGCGACAATTTCTATAACGTCTCTATTCCATATGAGTTTTCAAAATATTACCAATTTACATATTTACAAATGAACTTTGATTTGCTTGGTGTTGTGTGATTTATTCACTCCTTTTTCTATTGAAATTTATTCAAAAAAAAAGAAGAAGGTAAAAATTTGGTTTTTTTCTCTTTACTTGTCATAAAAAACACGTTCGGAAGTCAAAAAGTTTTTTATAGAAAAATTATTGAATACACACATAGATATATTATTATAGGTATATTATGTAGATATGTTCTATTTGTTCTATTTGTTACTTTTCACATGTGACAAATGAAAAAAATCTGAAATTTTTTTGTAAATTTAATAAAGAAAAAAGCAAAATTACCCTTTGATGTGTTTGAAACGCAAATGATTTCCTTTGTATATTATGCATGTGTGAGTATGTTTTATAAAACGGCAAATAATTTCATTATAAAAAATAATTATTAAAGGTATTTGAACAAAATTAAGCAAACAAAGTAAAATTTTTGTATTTTTTTTAATTTAATATTTTCAGTAAAATTTTGACAAAAATTTTAAATTCGTACTGAACAAAAAATTTTGTATTGAGAAAAATCCAATTTTAATGGGTTCTAAAATATTATTTTCAGAAGTAAGCAGTCATTTTTGTTTCAACAATTGAAAAACTCTTAAATTTCTACTAGATGCTACTGATTTATTACTACTTAATCATTATTTAACTAAAAAAATAAGCACAAAACCTCGACATTGTCAAGAAAATTCAATTGAAAAAATGAAGGTGACAAATTGAAGACACTCTCAAAAAAACAAACAATATCTCAAGAATCAGGTTTAAGTGGAATCAGCAAGGCTCAAGAAAATTCGGACGTCACAAAAATACTTGCTCCAGATACAAATGTGTAATTTTATGGAGCTGCAAGACTTCAATGCGCCATCAAATTAAGAAAATATCCAAAATAAAATAAGTTGGGGATATGTAATCAAACGAAACCCCTTTTACCCCTAGTGAAATAATTTTAGGAAACAGATTACAACTTTCAAAAATAATTAAATTTTATTAACCCCCTTAAACGACTTTAGTGCACACGAATAATTGTTGCTGTAAAAATAATAAAAATTTACTCACAATTTAATAACTAAGATATTCACAATGAAAATTCAGTCTTTTCTTCATAGAGTAAATAATAAACTGACTAAAGACGTTTCATGTCGGGTTTATAATTTCAATTTTTGAGTTCGTGTAAAAAGTATTTTCGAAAAACTAAGTAAAGCTTTGAAGACCCAGAAATTTACGCTAAAAACTTTTACATTTTACACTGAAAATTTATGATTTTTCTATGGTGATACTTGAAGGGAAAAACTTACAAATTCCGTTTGTAATTTTCACGTTATTCAAAATTCTCTATAATACCAAAATAGAAAAGTGATTAAATATGAAGTTTTAATAAATTAAGGTTTATTTACATAATATAGCTTTGGTTATTCCTAAGAGTCTTAAGAATCGCTTAAGATTTTTAATTTTTTACAAAAGAATTTTTTTTTATTTTAAAACAAAAAAAAATTCTCATCATACTAATTCACAATATGAAAGCAATCTAAATAGAAAAATGTTTTTCTTTTTGTCTTTTTTTCTGTACTTCAAAAGAAAAATGTTTTCTTTTCTCCTTTGCTCATATGTGCATCACATATACACACAAACTTTCCTTTTTGTTTCGTCTTTTTCTCGAAATGAAAAAAAAATTCAAGAGTTTCTTTCAACTTCTGTCATGTTAATAACTCATCCACCATATTTGATTTGATGTGAAAATATGCAAAAATAAAAAAAAATCACTATCACTCCCACTCTCGCTCACATCACTCAATTTTCCATCATTTCACTTTTGATTTTTTTCAAAGGTAATGTTTTTTTTTCTTTCTTTACAACTGAATGAATTCTTCATTCATTTTAAATCTCAATTGAACTTAAAATATTTTTACATATAACATATACAGCGCCGGGTCTACCATCTATGAAAAGTAAGCACTTGTAATGAGCGCTACAAAACCGGGACGCTATTCAGAACTTAAAAAAAGAAAACTAAATTTTTTCGAACTCTTTCCAGTACGTGTTTCTAAAAAATTTTTACCTTTATATTTACAGCAAAATTAACATGTACCTACATACATGCTGGCTTTAGTTCTATGACTTATTTTGCATTACAGTTGATAAAGTTGCGAGAAAATGATTATTATGCGAAATGTGTAATGTTTATTGCATATTGTTCATTGCTTAAAAAGAGCAGGCGGAGCGGCGCATTTTCGGAAGTAGATGTAGGGCGCCGGACAAGTTAGAACCGAATCTGTACACATATGTTATTACACATAATATATTTTTTTATATTTGTGTACAAGTATAGTTAGAGCATTTAGTTAAAAATTTATATTACATCAAAAAAAATTGTTGCAAGTTGCTTTATAATTTTCTTATTTAATATGTAGAGAATTTATTTATAGAAAAATAAAAGGACAATTATTTATTAATTTAATTTAATAAATTTAATATTGTGAAATTATTTCTAAACAAAACCAACGATGCAATTTGCAATGCTGCAATTAAGAATTTAAAAATAATTAAAAGATTTCAATTCACAATAAAATGATTATTGGAGAATTGAGAGAAGAGATGAGAATTATTTAAACTTCTATTGTAATGACATATTGTTCT